AACTTGCTTTTAAAAAAGACAAACTTGCTTTTAAAAAAGACTCATCTGAAGTAAATAAAAGTTTGTCTGTCCTTGAAGTCCGAAAAGTGCTTTTTCGGGAGGCCACTGGACTTTCTGGTTTCTTTCTTTGAAGAAGCTTCTTCCGCTCTGACAGGACAATTGGGAACGGAAGGACTATTCACTATTTTGTCAGAGCTGAAGAAGCTTCTTGGGTGAGAAGTAAAATGTCTTCAAAAGGAAAAAAACAAGGAAGTCCAGTGGCCTCCTGAAAAAGCACCTTTGGGACAACCATGGCCTGGTTGACTGAGAATCTCTACAGACTTTTAGCTATACTATTTGGGATGAATGCCCTTTGAATGGTGTGGAAGTAGGAATGGATTTCCAGAGGAAAAAAAATTGCATACTACAGGAAGCAGGAGCACCACTCAGGTGACCCTGAGGACACAGATAAACCTCCAAGTGGCCTCAACGACCCTCTAAAAGGATGCAAATGACCAGCTGTCTGCAAGGAGGACAAATCCTTCCATTCCCCCACCATTCTGTCAGAGCTGAAGAAGCTTCTTGGATGAGAAGCAAAACGTCTTCAAAAGAAAAGAAAAAACAAGAAAATCCAATTGCCTCCTGAAAAAGCACCTTAGGGACAACCATGACCTGAAGGGCTGAAAAACTCTACAGACTTCTTTGGGACCATTTCTTTGGGAGGAAATAGAGTCATCAATATCATAATTTCTGGGAGCTGAAGTCCACTTAAGGGTTAAGAAATCCTACTCTAGCCAACTAAAGAGAAATCAATATACATCCACACAATATCCTCATCTGTCCTCACCTTCCTGTTCCAATTGAGCAGTTGGTCTGAAAAAAAATGCCCATTGGTGTCAAGTGAAAAGGTCTTCCAATCGTACAGTATCTGTAATATACATAGACAAGGAGCCTGGTTGTAATCCTAGTTATTGCAATAATTACAGAAAGTTCTTGACTTTCCTAAAGTAAGTCAACCCTGACTGTTCTTTGGAAGGACAGATCCTGAAGCTGAGGATCAAATACTTTGGCCACCAAATGAGAAGAGAGGATTCCTTGGAGAAGTCCCTGATGTTGGGAAAGGCGGGAAGGAGAAGACAACATGAGACAATGAGACGGTTGGATGATGTCATTGACTCAATGAATATGAATCTGGGTAAATTTAGGAGACAGTGGAGGATGGGGCAGCCTGGGGTGACGTGGTCCATGGGGTTGCAAAGAGTCAGGCACAATTTAGCGACCGAACGACCAAACTTTTGACTTATGGCCACAATTGGAATCAGAATTTCTGTTAAGCAAGGCGGCAGCTAAATGAACTGTGCCCGATTTTACATACCTGAATTTTGATCATGTGGCAATGGTTGTAAGTACAAGGACTGGTAGTACTTCACTTTCTCCCATGAGCTGTTCAGAGCATCCAGTAGTGGGAGATGCTTCAGTCTCTGCATGTCTAGACGGGGCTTAATTTTGGAACACTCCTCCTCCTCCACGGGACTCCTCCCCAGCATTCCCCAGTTTTGGCTCAGCCTCGTGAGAGATAGGCAGTGCTTGTGATTTTTCCTTGGCCAAACAGGAAAAATTATTTCCTTGCTAACAGGTTTGAAAGTTAATCAGCTTGTCTTTAGAATCCTTTAGCCTTCTAATCACATTGCGATCTCTCAACGTTGGCTCGCATTACAGAGATCACTTGCATTACAGGGAAGCACCAATTCGTGCCCCAAAGTGGTGGGAGGCTTCAGCGCTGCTCAGTGCCCCCTCCCCACAACCGATCTTTCTACCTCTGCCATTCCGACAGATTGCCGCAGAGTTTCTTTTACCCGAACAGAGGCGTGAGCTCTTTGCTCCCAACAGAGTTGTGTCACTTTCCTTCCCCCTCTGAATGCCACTTGGGGTGGAGGATTCAAATGCTTAGTGCCTTCCACCCTTCCCCGCCATTTAGCCTTATAGGAAAAGCCATCGGAGGCTATTCCTTCACATGGCGGGAATTTGCTGCTGGGGAGTGCGCCAAAAGATTAATGGTCGGAGGCCATCTTTTCTTACAAGACCTTGTGGCCACACGCCTGTATTCCATTTCATGCTGTGTGAGGTAACTCTGTTCTGAGCAGAGGTTCCCTTCAGGAACACTGGGGACCATTATACCCTCGTCTTGGTTTTTTTCTACATTCGAGGCTATTCTTACAGTTAAATTGTTGGCTTAACCCTCACAGCCCAATCAACCCAGCAGCACAACAGCAAGCACCTAGGCCTATGTCCGCCTCTGCAGGGAAGCTGTTGAAGGCCTCTATCCTTATCAATCTGGGCCTTTAGGCGTTCTCAATTTGGCTGTTTGGTTTCTCAGCACTTAACATCGTGCCACTTAATTAATATTCATATACATATTGCTAGATATATATATATTAGTGGTTATATAATAATACAATAATAATAATGATAATAATAATAATTTTCTCTTCAGTATAATATTTTAATATCAATAAAATATTATTACTGAGATATGACTCATTATAGATAGGTATTATTCAAAAAAAAAGAGAGGAAAGGGGGCAATAAAAACATCATCAGGGCAACCGGTCTGTCCTCAGATCAGGCCCCTGGGTGTGCCAGCCGCCTTCACAGTATTGCACTGTATAACAAAGCATACTGCAATTCCAACTTCAATCGAAATGGTAGACGGTAGCAGCTCTCAGACCTCATCCTTGAAGATCAAAGCCAAATTTCAGCATAAAACCTAAGCAGGCTAAAGGGAATTCTAAAACTTCAGAAAGGGATGCCATCAGGTGCCATAAAGCTTTACAAAAACAGATAAGTGATAGATAAGCTCATTCAACAAGGAGCGCCGTGACATCGGCAGCGTGGGCCACACAGGCACCAATAACTGAAATTTGTCGAGCTGCAACCTCTCCATCGCCATTCACTAGGCATTATAAAATAGATGCATTTGCATCCGCTGAGGCCTCCTTTGGCAGAAGAGTTCTGCAACGGGTCCACAGGGACCAGGAGGAGATTCCAGGCCAGACGGAGTCCCTCCCATAGGACAGGCCAAGCTTTGGTATGTCCCACTACTGGATGCTCTGAACAGCTCATGGGAGAAAGGGCGTTGGTACTTACCTGACACGCCCATTCTCTTTGAGCTGTGAAGAGCATCCAGCCCCACCCTTTTTTCCGTCTGGTGGGGTCCTGTTTCGGACAACGAATTGTTAGGACATTGAGGACGAGGGCGGTTATTTCTCTCGTCTTTGCCAAAACTGGGGAACGCTGGGGAGGAGTCCCAGGGAGGAGGAGGAGGAGCGTTCCACAAATTAAGCCCAGCCTAGACATGCAGAGACTGAAGCATCTCCCACTACTGGATGCTCTTCACAGCTCAAAGAGAACGGGCGTGTCCGGTAAGTACCAACATCCTTTTTCCAGGGATGTTATAACTTTGAACAGTTATAATTGAATGATTGTAAGTCAAGGATGGCCTGTATTTCAGTAGATACTACCTCGCTGCAATCCTCATTTTCCCACTCCCTTCTATTCAAGCTAATGGACTATTTTACCCCACCCTTGGCACAGAAATAAAGGGGGAGGATAAAGACATGAGAACAGGAATTCAGTATTTCAGGGGCTGCCACAAAGAAGTGGGGGTCGACTTAGTTTCCAGAGAGCAGGACAAGGAGTGACGGATGGAAACTAACCAAGGAGAGAAGCAACCTGGAGCTAAGGAGAAATTTCCTAACAGTGAGGACAATTAACCAGTGGATCTACTTGCCTCCAGAAGTTGTGGGTGCTCCATCACTGGAAGCTTTTAAGAAGAGATTGGGCATTTGTCTGGAAAGGTCTCCTTCTTGCACAGGGGGTTGGACTAGAAGACCTCCAAGGTCCCTTCTAACTCTGTTATTCTGTAATCCCAGATCTGTTAACCAGTGGAATAGCTTGCCTCCAGAAGCCACTGGAGGTTTTTAAGAAGAGATTAAACAGCTATTTGTCTGAAATGGTATAAGGTCTCTTGCTTGACCATGGGGGTTGGACTAGAAGACCTTCAAGGTCCCTTCCAGCTCTATTTCTATTCTATTCTAAACACCTATTTCCCCAGCAACCATTTTTTAAAAGCCTCGTTTTATCATCCCAATAAGGCTTGGAGAAGCATTGTGCTTGTAACAAGAGCATCTAGGCATCGGTTGAGGGAACGTGCCAGGAATACTCATGCACGAAGAAACATCAATATGTGAGAATGGGTGGCTGAACAAATGAAAGGCTAGCGGGAGAATGCGCGTATGGGCTGTGTGGAATTGGATGGATGGATGGATGTCGGCTTGTGTGAGGTGAAAGGTCCGTCCACCGACATGATAAGGCAATACTAGCAACAGCGATGGCACCTGGATCAGAGGTGGTATATTCAGAAGGTTCTGATCAGTTCTGGAGAACCGGTAGCGGAAATTTTGAGTAGTTCAGAGAACCGGCAAATCCCGCCTCTGACTGGCCCCACCCCCATCTATTCTCTGCCTCCCATTGAATCCCAGCTGATTGGCTGGGTCTTCTTTGGTTGCCCTGCACAGGAGAACGGAGCTGGAAAGCAGGTTAGTGGGGTGGGGAGCGAATGGGGATTTTGCAGTATCCTTCCCCTGTCACACCCAGGAAGCCACACCCACCAAGCCACACCTTGCCCACCAAGCCACACCCACAGAACCGGTAGTAAATTTTTTTGAATCTAGACTTATATACCACTTCATAGAGCTTTGCAGGCCTCGCTAAGCAGTTTTCAGAGTCAGCCTCTTGCCCCCAACAGCCTGGGTCCTCATTTTATTGACCTCGGAAGGAGGGAAGGCTGAGTCAACCTTGAGCCTGATGAAAATTGAACTGCCAAATTGCAGGCAGCCGGCAAGCAGCAGAAATAGCCTGCAGCACTGCATTCTAACCACTGCACCACTGCGGCTCAAGCTAGATGCTGGACGGGAAATGTTTACCAGGACATCTGAGGAGATGCAGTCCACTCTGTTTACCTCTGGGTGAGTTCAGCGCTGCCCTGATGTATTTGGCAGTCGGGTAGAAATAAATGCTGAGATCAAATTTTGGATCATCATCCGCTTCCACCCCGTAGTAATCAACCGGCAGGTCTCGGTAGAACTTGGCTCCTGTATCAATGTGGAATCTTCCTGCGGCAGCATTCACGATGTGTGTGATGCCCATCCGACGCAGCTGTTCTATGTTCCGGGCGATATACCTGCAAACAAGGATGCCTGGCTTAATTTTATGACTCTACATTTCTCCTCACTTTGGAGAGGAGTTACATGTTCATGGATACATTAAAAGGGGCCAACGGACTTGGTTAACTAAACACAGGGACTCAGATTTAATCCCAAAGGGACTCTGGCATGCTCACTGCACCCATTAACTCTGTAGGGGAACATAATTATTTAGGGTCCTTGGTTGAGCTTGGTTGATATTTTTTTTACAGAGGTTTCATTACCCAACTAGGTAATAGCCTACTCACCAAGCACTGATGATGATATCTAGCTGGGTAATGAAGTGTCTGCAATAAAATAACTAAGCTCAGAGAGCACCAATGATGTCACTGTTCAATCCTGAGCCCTCAATATTCTCTTTTAGTGGAACACACATTTACACACATACACAGAGATGATTGCAGTTCACCTCTTCACTTTTTGAAATTCCTCTGCTAAGCCCCTAGTTTCTAAGTAGTGCAATTGAAACCTGCCAAGTCTGTTTTACAAGAGAAAATGATGGAATAAAATAATTCTGTATGCAAACAAAAAACTCTTTTTAAAACACTCTTTTAAAAAAAGAGTTTAAAAAAAGAGTTTAAAAAAGAGTTTAAAAAAACTCTTTTTAAAAGCACTCATTCCAAGTATTGTGTAGAAATGTATCTAGCAAAATCTTCCTTCCTTCCTTCCTTCCTTCCTTCCTTCCTTCCTTCCTTCCTTCCTTCCTTCCTTCCTTCCTTCTTCCCTCCCTCCCTCCCTCCCTCCCTCCCTCCCTCCCTCCCTTCCTTCCTCCCTCCCTCCCTCCCTCTCTCTCTCTCTCTCTCTCTCTTTCTTTCTTTCTTTCTTTCTTTCTTTCTTTCTTTCTTTCTTTCTTTCTTTCTCAATA